CGCCCCGCCGCTTCCCACGGCCTCGGACCGCCCCGCCGCTCCTCACCTGGGTGCGAGCTGCGCCCCGCCCCGCAGGCGCCTGGGGCGCTCAAAGCCTGGGACTCGGCGTGGCGCATTTCCCACGGCCCAGTTCCCATCGCCTCCAGCACCATCTCCGACCTCCTCCCAGAGGGCCTGCCCTGACCCCCACCCCCAGGACAGAGGCCCGTCCCCCCCTGCCAGTCACAGGCCCATTCTAGCACTTCACACTTTGAAATCATCGCGTTTTTCATGACTTTTTTTTGCAGTCAACTGAAAAAAAAATTGCAGCACCTGCATGCAACCCCTTCTTCCTGCCTTCCTTCCTTCCTTCCTTCCTTCTTTCCTTCCTTTTTTCTGTGGGACGTGGGGCCTGGATCTGGGCGCTGTCCCTCAGCTCTTCAGCTCAAGGCTAGTGCTCTACCACTTGAGCCACAGCGCCACTTCCCGGGATTTTCTGCGTATGTGGTGCTGAGGAATGGAACCCAGGGCCTCAGGCATGCAAGGCAAGCGCTCTACCACTGAGCCACCTTCCCAGCCCCCGCATTTCTTTCTTACTAAAACTTTTTTTTTTTTTTCTGTGCCCTGGTTCTGGGGCTTGTACTCTGGACCTAGGTCCTGAGCTTTTTCACTGATGGTTGTTGCTCTACCACTTGAGCCATAGTTACACTTTAAGCCCCATCCCCCCCCCCCATTGATTGGAGTTAGAGTTTCATGGACTTTGAACAGTAATTCTCAGATCTTAGCCTCCTGGGTGGCTGGGATCACAGGCATGAGCCCCTGGCACCCAGCTTGCACCTGGTTTCTCTATAATTCCTCTAAGAATTAGACCCGACTTATAATAAATGCTAAATGGAAGCCAATACAACAATCAAGTCAATCACTGCTGTTTGGGATACAAAAAGCTCAGTGGCCAAGTACCTGCTTCAGCTGGGTGCCAGTGACTCAGGAAGCTGAGATCTGAGGATCTTTGTTTGAAGCCAGCCTGGGCAGGAAAAGCCTGTGAGACTCTTTTTTTTTTTGGGGGGGGGTCCAGTCGTGGGGCCTGAACTCTGGGCCTGGGCGCTGTCCCTCAGCTCTTCAGCTCATGTGGTGCTGAGGAATTGAACCCAGGGCCTTAGGCATGCAAGGCAAGCGCTCTACCACTGAGCCACCTTCCCAGCCCCAAGCCTGTGAGACTCTTATCTCCAATTAACCACAAAAAGCTAGAAGTAGAGCTGTGGCTCAAGTGGTAAAGTGCTAGCCTTGAACAAAACAGCTCAAGGACAGAACCTAGGCCCTGAGTTCAAGCCCCCGGACTGGACCACACAAAATAAATCACCTGCTTCTCATGCAGAAAGCCAGGGGTTTCTTCCCCAGCATGATTGATTCATCTAATCTCCTTTTGTAAATTATCTTTCAATCCTAAGAGACAGTCAGAGGTATGAATTATTATCAACTAAATATTACCGAAAGAGCCAGGTGTGGTGGTGCACATCTGTAATTCCAGTACTTAGGAAGGTGAGGCAGGAAGATCAGGAATTCCAGACTTCAAAATTAATAATATCCCAGCTCCGGTGGTTCATGCTCTATAATCTTAGCTACTGAAGAGGCTGAGATTTGAGGATCCAGGTTCGAAGGCAGCCCAGGAAGGAAAGTCAGTGAGACTCTTATCTCCAGTGAACAACCACGAGAAAACCGGAAGTGGAGCTGTGGCTCAAGTAGTAGAATACTAGTCTTGAGGGAAAAGCCAAGCAAGAGTCTGGGGCCTTGAATTCAGGCCTCAGCACATATACACAATAATAATTATAAAACCCCAAAGAAGGGGCTGAGGCTGTAGCGTGGTTAAAGCATCTGCCTGAAGTTGCACAGCTAAAAAGTTACAAATAAATATTAAAACACGCCCCCCAACAACCTTGGCTGTAGAGTGTCATTTTGCTAAATTGTCCTGGGGGAGAGGGATTTGGGACACCCTTAACCCTTGTCCCTGGATTTGCTTTTATTTCCTGGAACCCCCACACTGCAGCCCCAGCCCTGGGACCCCCCAGCAGGCAGGGAGGAGCTGGGGAACCCAGCAGGCTCAGATTTCCTCCCCTGGGGGCTGAGTTCACAGAAGCTGCCCTTGCTACCCAGGTGGTCCTAATGATTTAAAGCCATTTCTTCAAGAGGGTGCAGACTCCACACACTGGATGGACAGCAGGGTCCCTTGCCCTGAGCCCAGTCCCAACAACCAGCCAGCCAGCCAAACAGATGCTCTGCGATCGGCTGATCCCTCTCCTGGGCCTGCTTAGCGGGGTCTGGCTGCCCACAAGTTCAGGGAGGCCTGGATTCTGGAACCCCCGTCAGTCTTGGGTTGCAACCAATCAGACCCGGCCTTGGGTCAACCTCTTGCAGCCATGGTCATCCTTTGGTACCTGGATGGCTTTCCTGGGGTTGCAAAAAACCAGGCAGCTGAGGATGAGCCAGCTGCAGCAGGGGCAGGAAGTGGCCCCTGCTGTGTCCCTACCCCTGGACCCACGGGAAGTGACCCGTGAGACTTGTAAAGCTGTGTCCTTTATCCAGGTGAGTGGCCAGGAGGGAGGAGAGGGAGGAGAGGGCCAGGTCTTAGCATCCCAGATGGCACCAAGGGGAGGGGTGGTGACCCAGACCCAGATTGAAATCCAAGTCTTGTCTTCTCCTCCTAAATGGCGCGAAGCCTCAGTTTCCTCTTCAAATGGAGCAGAAAGAGGCCTGGTGCTGGTGGCTCACATCTGTAATCTTAGTTTCTCAGGAGGCTAAGATCCCACTGAGGATGGAGGGTTGAAGCCAGCCTGGCAAGAACGTCTGTAAGACTCTGTGTGTGTGTGTGTGTGTGTGTGTGTGTGAATCGGTCATGGGGTTTGAACTCTGGGCCTGGGCGCTGTCCCTCAGCTCTTCAGCTCAAGGCAAGCACACTACCACTTGATCCACAGCACTATTTCTGGTTTTTCTGGTGGTTTATTGGAGAAAAGAGTCTTAGGGACTTTCCTGCCTGGGCTGGCTTTGTAGCTTTTTTTTTTTTTTCCAGGGCTGAGGACCAAACCAGGGCCTTCCGAGCGCCGGGCAGGCACCCTTCCACTGGGCTAAACCCCCAGCCCCTAGGCTGGCTTTGAATCACAGTCCTCAGATCTCAGCCATCTGAATAGCTAGGACTAAAAGTGTAAGCCATCCATGCTCAGCCCCTGATGCTCTTTAATCTCTGATTAACCATCAAAAATAAACCAGAAGTGGAGCTGTGGCTCAAGTGGAAGAGCATTAGTCTTAAGAAAATAAATAAGTAAAAACAAAAACATAGTCTGGGAAGGTGGTTCAGTGGTAGAGTGCTGGCCTCGCATGCATGAGGCCCTGGGTTCGATTCCTCAGCACCACATAAACAGAAAAAGCCAGAAGTGGCGCTGTGGCTCAAGTGGTAGAGTGCTCGCCTTGAGCTGAAGAGCTGAGGGACAGCGCCCAGGCCCAGAGTTCAAGCCCCACGACCCACAAAAGAAGAAAAAAAAAAGAAACAAAAAAGCAACTCAGGGACGGCCTTGAGCTTAAGTCCCAGGACTGACACAAAACATGGGGCATACGCTCCTGCTGCTGAGTCAGAGTGGTTGCCAACATATGTCTCCCCCACTTCTGGACACCCCTTTTCCTCCGGCTGATTTTCCATTTGGCCACCAGAGGGCGCACAAGGACACCTGACTCAGGCGTCCTCCAGCACTCCATGAATTCCATCTTTTATTTACCTTATTTAACTTTATTTTGTGCTGGAGCTTGAACTCAGGGCTTGGAGCTGTCTCTCAGCTTTTTCACTCAAGGCTGGTGCTCGACCACTTGAGCTACTTAGGAGGCTGAGACCTGATGATTGTGGTTTGAAGCCAGCCTAAGCAGAAAAAGTCTGTGAGATTCTTCCAATTAATCACAGAGAAAGACAAGAAGTAGCACTGTGGCTCAAGTGGTAGAGCACTTAGCTCAAGGACAGTTCCCAGGCCCAGAGTTCAAGCCCCAGGATGGGGGCGGGGCAGGGGGTGGGGGAGATGATGTACAGCGTGGTTACAGTTACATAAGTCAGGTATTGAATACATTTCTTTTTGAACAATGTCACCCCTTCTCTCCCTCCCTCCCAGTCTTCCCCTCCCATCCCTACCCACAAGTTGCAGAGTTCATTTTCCACGTAGTGTCTAATGAGTACCATGGCTGCATTTGTTCACCCTTTGGCCCTCCATTTCTTTCTTTTTTTTTTTTTTGTCGGTTGGGGGGCTTGAACTCTGGGCTTGGGCGTTGTCGCTCTACCACTTGAGCTACAGCACCACTTCCGGTTTTCTGGTGGTTTACTGGAGATAGGAGTCTCATGGTCTTTCTTACCCGGGCTGGCTTTGAACCGCGATCCTCAGATCTCAGCCTCCTGAGTAGCTAGGATTACAGGCATGAGCCACCAGCGCCCGGCGGCCGTCCATTTCTCTACTTCCCCTTTACCTCCCAAAGACAGACACATGAACAAACTAGACAGAAAGAACAGAAAACACAAACAGCAACAAAGAAGAAAAACCTCTTGTTTCCATTTCTTGGAGTTCATTTTGATATTATTATTATTTTTTTTTTGGGTCCGGTCGTGGGGCCTGAACTCTGGGCCTGGGCGCTGTCCCTCAGCTCTTCAGCTCAAGGCTAGCGCTCTACCACTTGAGCCACAGCGCCACTTCTGGCTTTTTTCTGTTTGCTTATGTGGTGCTGAGGAATCGAACCCAGGGTCTTGAGCATGCAAGGCAAGCGCTCTACCACTGAGCCACCTTCCCAGCCCCTTGATATTATTTTATATAATATCGAACACAGGCACTGGGCCTTCTCTTTTTTCTTGCTTTGTATTGTTGAAATACAAATCACTACCTAACATAGTATGGTTGTGTGTGTGTGTGTGTTTTGAACTCAGGAACAACTACTAGCTTGGCTTGTTTGCTCATGGCTGGCGCTCTATCACTTGAGCCATGCTTCCAGGGCAGCTTTTGGCTACCTATTTCGGAGATGGAGTCTCATGGGCTTTTCTTCGTAAGCTGGTGGTGAACTGGTGGTGATCCTCCGGATTTCAGCCTCCTAAGTAGCTGGGATTACAGGTGTGAGCCGCCCCCCCACCCCCAACACACACACACCTGGTCCTTTCTTGGTTTCCTGGTGGGATTTCCACCGTTTGGCAGGTGAGGAATCAGAGGCTGGGAGAGGTTGGGCGACTGGCGCCAGGCCAACCAGGGCCGGTGCGGCCCTGGGCGGTGCTCCCCCCGCCCCCGTGTCTGTCAGGGTGGGGTGGGAGTGGGAAGGTGCGGCTTCTGGGCACCCCAGCTCCTGCCTCCTCTGTCCCCAGATTCTCTCGAGGCCCGGCTGCACCCCTGCCCGGATCCGCAATCGCCTCTGCTTTGGCCGATGCTCCTCCCTCTACGTCCCCGGCTCGGGTGCCACCCCGCGGGGCCTCAGCAACAGCTGCGAGCCGGCTCGCCGACGCCGCGTGCCGGTGGTGCTGTGGTGTCGCGCGGGCAGCCCAGCCTGGCGCCGGCGGGTGAAGGTGTCCACCGAGCTGGTCCGGGACTGTCAGTGCGTCCCCAAGCTCTGATCGGCGCGTCGGGGCGGACCGACAGACGGCAGAGACAGGGATCCCGGAGAGGAGAGACCGACAGGACGACCATGACGTCAACCGGCGCGAGGAACGACTTGGTTGAGACCAAGGATGCAAGGACAGATGGACACAGGCCCCCCGGAACCCTCACCCTGCGCCGCGGGGGGGGCGCGCGCGCGGACTCGAGACGCAGCCCTAAACCCCTTCTCGGTGGGCTGGGGGCGTGGCTTAGCAGTAGGGGCGTGGCTCAGACAGGACACAGAATACAGACAGGGCGTGGCTCACCCGTGGGGGCGTGGCTCAGGCAAAGCAAGGAATACGGATGGGGCGTGGCTCACTGTTGAGGGCGTGGCTCAGCCTTGGGGGCGTGGCTCCAACAGGCACCGAATGGTGATAAGTAGCTCATCCGTGGGGGCGTGGCTCAGCAGTAAGGCGTGGCCTAGAAGTAGGAGGCGTGGCTTCCAGCTTGAGCATTTGCCTAGCACCCTGGCCTCGGTTGCCATCCCAAGCACCGAAGAGAGAGAAAAATAGCAATCGTTCGGGCTGGCTGATCAATCACTGTGTAGGTCGTGGGTAAAGCTTTTGACGGGTGCTTTCTCCTGAGAGCCTCCCCCACCCCCGCCCGTCACCCACACAGCCCAGTGAGATAGGGTTAGCCCCAAACTATGACACATAGGAAGATGCTAGGCTCAGAGAGGTCAGTCACTCCCCCAAGGTCACACAGCCGTCTGTGGCACAGCTGGGATTCGTGTTGCTTCTCTCTTCTCTTTCTCTCCTCCCCCCCCCGCCCCCGCACGGAACCCGGGGTCTGGCATGTGCTCAGCAAAGCGCTTTGTCACCGAGCCACGCCCCCAGCCTGAGATTCAGTCTTAACCACTGAGCCCAATGGCCTTTTCCAGAATCAGTCAAAGACACACTCCGGGTTTCCAGGGAGGACAGATAGCCCCACCCAGATCTGGACCCACGGCCCTGACCCCGTCCCAAGGATACCAAAGCACCAAGCCGGCCAATGGAACCCCCCCGCCCCAGCCGGTTCCAGGCTCCCCAGCTCCCCGGCTGCCTTGACGCCCCTCCCGGGCACCTGCGTCCCGGCCCAGCCCCGTGCCAGCTCGTTCCACGAGAGCCATAAATGTGGGTCAGTCGCTGCCGTGCGCGTGTTGTCCTCTCCGCTTGGGGTTCCCGAGCTGGGGCCGTGGGGGGCCGCGCCCAGCTGCGGCCGGCGCTGCTGCGTGCCAGGGCGGCCTGGCTGCGGCCGGCTGGAAGCAGGGCTCTGGCAGATGGGCGCGTCTGGCATCGACAGGACGACATGTGGCACCGCCAGAAT